CACACACACACACACACACACACACACACACACACACACACACACACTTCTTCTTCAGAAGAAGAAGAGCTCTGTGTAGCTCAAAAGCTTCTCTCTCCAGCAGAAGTTGGTCCAATAAAAGATATTACCTTACCCATCTTGTCTCTACTTTCAGGAGAAAATTTCAATATGTAATTGAAAAAACAATTGCCCCCAACCAAAAAGTTTTCAATTTTGGCTGAAAGCTAAGATTTTTCTTTTCAAAATAGTGTCCCAGTGCCTCGTGGGAATTTTAATCTGGGTGTTTTACACTTACATTCTCCTTTATAGGCCAGGCTCTCTGGTTGGACTGTATCTCCCATGATGCACCACAGACAGGGATTCCTATGATGCATGCCTTTACTAAGAGGGAAGAAGGAGATGTTTTCCACCCAGAGAGCAGCCATACTACAACTCCTGTGAGGCACTGCAGCACCAATTTAACTGGAGATATTTTGGTTTGTGATTAAATTGCCAAAAAGTCTAAATTTTCTGTGGAAAGCAAACAAACAAAAAGTCATTTTTATCTAAATTTCCTACAGAAAAACACTCATCTGTTTCTCAAACATCTTTACTCAATGCCTTGCAAGAAGAACTTAGCACATTTGCCTGTAGTAATCCCTTTGTATCTTAACTTTGCTATTCTGCCGTTTTATTTGAGAGTGAATGGTAAAGAGTTAAAGCAATTTAAGTGCTAGAATACCTCCACATTAATTAGCCGAGGGGGTGCTGAGCTATCTCCAGAAATGCAATGTGCAATAAAAGGCCAACTGGCAATTTAAATTTGATGGTGCCCACCAGTGGCATTGGAACAATTTGTATAGTGGGGGTGCTGAAAGCTATTGAACAAAACTTTAAGCCCTGTATATGATGGAAACCTCTTCAAGCCAGGGGATGCTGCTCAGGGCTGGTGCAACCTATTAGGCGACCTAGGCGGTCGCCTAGGGTGCTAGGATTTGGGGGGCGGCATTTTCTTTGGCGGCGACCGCGGCGGCTGGATCTTCGGCTGCCCTGGTCACTGCCGGCATTAAGGTGGAGGGAGCTGGGGCAGGGCGGCGCGGGGAGGGCTGCCAGCAGCAAGTAAGGGGGGGGGGGGGCCCGGCGGGGAAATCCCCGCCCCAGCTCACCTCTGCTCCGCCTCCTCCCCGAGCACGCCACCCCGCTCTGCTTCTCTCCCTCCCAGGCTTGCAGCGCCAAACAGCTGATTGGCACCGCAAGCCTGGGAGGCGGAAGAAGTGGAGCAGCGACGGCATGCTCGGGGAGGAGGCAGAGCAGAGGTGAGCTGGGGCGGGGAGCTGCTGCGGGGGGGGTGTGCCTCAGGGCGGGGGGGGAGCTGCCGCAGGGCTCGGGGAGGGGGCGGAGCAGAGGTGAGCTGGGGTCAGGAGCTGCCGCACGGCTCCCTGGGCCGGGCGGGGGGTGGGGAGCTGCCGCGGGGGTGGGGGCGCCCCAGGGCAGGGAGGAGTGGGGATCTGCCACGGGGGGGTGCCTCAGGGCGGAGTGGGGGTGAGGAGCTGCCGTGGGTGGGCGCCTCAGGGCGGGGAGGGGGTGGAGAGCTGCCGCAGGGCTCGGGGAAGGGTGCAAGATGGAAGTTTCGCCTAGGCCGCGAAACATCCTTGCACCGGCCCTGGTGCTGCTGCACCCCTAGTTCCAGCACCCCTGATGACCACAAATAAACCTTCCCATTATCTCCTTACTCTGCAGAACTCATTTAGTTCCTTCTTGACCATATTTTTGTGGCAAGTGTTATGCCTATTGTATACAAGCCCCGATATGATCGACTCCTGTTTGGTCAATATAAGAGACCCTAAACCATACAAATTGTTTCTAACAGGTGTGCATTTCTCTAATGACCTGTATGTGTGTGCTTGTACTAGCCTTGGTAGAAGAATACAGAGTTACAGTGAAGGAGAGTTACTGCATTTTGGAAGACCTGGAGCCAGATCGCTATTATGGTGTGTGGGTCATGGCTGTGAACTATACAGGATGCAGCTTACCGAGTCACAAATCCACTTTCAGAACTGGTAGGTATATTTTGGCATTTAAAGATTAGATCTCAGTTCCTGAGACAGTATTAACTAGACAATGCTATTAGAAATGTAGAGAAGTGTTTCACTGATTCCATCCACTAGAAAATAGGCAAGTCACATAGTTTCCCCACCTGTAAAATGACAGCAATGTATTTACCATATGTGAAATTTGAGAAAACACAGAATTTAAAATGTCCCCAATCGTGACGTGTACTTGAGGCATTGGAATGGAATGATTTTAGTTCAATTTCTGACTCTGTCACACATTCACTGTGCGACTTTGGGAAAGTCGCTCAGTCGCTCTGTGCCTCGGTTTCTCATCTATAAAATGGGGATGATATTGATACTTACTTTTCCCCACCTTTTTTCTGTCTTGTCTATTTAAATTGTAACCTCTTTGGGGGGGTGTGTCTCTTATTATGTGTATGTACAGCACCTAGCACACACAGGCCCTGGATTTGGCTGGGGATTCTAGGCACTATCATGATACGAATAATAAATTATAATAACGGCAAGTAATTAGATAAGTATTATGTATTAGCGTCATTTGACAGATTAGGAAACTGAGGCTCAGAGTTTGTGACTTGCTTTGGGGGCACCATGATCTAGCAGATTAGGCATAGGTTTAGGAGTCCTGTGTTCTAATCCATGTTCTGACACTTACTTTGCTAGATGACTTTTGTCAGATCATTTAAACTCTGCAGGCTGAGGAGGATTATTCAATTTCCCTATTGGTAAAACATGGATAATAATATTTACATGCTTTATAATGAAATAATGTTTATAAAGCAACAGTATTATTGAGACCACTTGGTGGAAGCTGTGGCTTTGAGCCCTGTGCTTAATCCACTGGGCCTCAAAGTCTTTGGATCCTCCTCCGTCTCATCTTGTGGCATGTTAAGTCATAGTGGATATTTTTTACCAAAGATTTTTGCAAAAAAATAACTGGAAAAAAAAGTTCAGACTTCCCAAATTTTGTGAAAACCCGCAGTTTTGGGGGTGCAAAATCCTTTACATTTAAATGGCCAAATGATTCACATGAATTTTCACAAAAAATGTTCCACCAGAGTTTTGTCCTGCCCTGATCTCTAAACTCTCCGAATCTGGCTTCTGGCAGCTAAATGTTATTTTTGGCGTCAGGCTATAGTGGAAATTTGTTGTTCCAGCTGGAAAGTCAACATACTTTTCACAAAATCTAAAGTTTTTTAAAAGGCTAACTCTTTGGCCTGTTATATGTTTGATATTGTTTTATTTATGCCTGTCCCTTTTGGAAGCTGGATGATTTTTTTATATGAACTATTCACTCTGCTTCCATCTTTTGGTCACTGCCCATCCATCTGAAGAGGAACTCCCTCTGGAGTCCACTGATGCTACATTCTTGGGCTAGTGGTAATGTTGTATAGTGGAAGATACTATATCCCCCTGACCTCTCAGACACCTAGGGACTGCAAAATTATCACTGACAATAGAAACTAGTTCTCCAGGGTATCAGTTCAGGAAACGACTGCTAGGTCACAAGGCTGGAATATTCAGATCCTTTAAATCAGAGGTTTTCAATCTATGGTCCGCGGACTCTTGGGGGGTCCACAGACTATGTCTAAGATTTCCAAAGGGGTCCATTCACAATTTTTTATGGGTCTGCAAATGATTCCAGTCTATCTTGCCACTTAGGCAAGCTGGCATTTGCGATAGATGGTCCCTTACACCAAAAATCACAACAACGTTCAGGTTACTCCCAGTCCCAAAGGACCAGTCACTTACCTTAGGACAACTGGACTTTAGATCTTACACTGAAGACAACGCTTGTAGCTAGTCCTATAATAAACTAACTAAAGATGTATAAACTAAGAAAAAGCAAAGAGAGTTATTCCCAGTATTAAAGCAGATAAACATACACACACAAATGAGTTACAGCCTAGGGCTAACCCAGACTAAGCAGCTGCGGATCCCTTGCTTATGCTTAGAAATGTTTGCCCTTCAGAGTCCAAACAGCATAGAGATAGTTTCTTTGTGTTAGGGATTTTTATTGCCTTCTCCCCCAAATTCAAGCTGATGGGATGAGTTCACACATTCGCCTCCTCTTCATGGGGTGAGGGAGGAATACTATTAACAAAGTCTTTGTTCTTTGATGTTTCACAATGTCTCATTTGGTTACAATGGACCTTCTTGATGGACAGTACCTAACACCTTCTGTAGGAAGCCAGCATTTTACATTAATTAATGTTTCATTCTTGTTTGATTTATACAATTACAGAGGTTTACAATACAAACCCTTAATATAACCTTATAACGGGGTACAGATGTTATAAATGAGATGAATACATGCAGCTTCCTACAAGCGTTTCACAAAGTCTACACGAAACACATTTTTATAACTGTAATACCTATTTTAACAATACTAACACACAGGTGAGCCAGACTGGTTCCCAGCTATATATTGGTCAGTCTTCAGTTGATGCCTATGGGCCTTAGCATGAGCTGGCACCTGGTCTGCCAGCATCACACTGTTGCACAGTTTAATTCATAAAGTCATGGGAGAACCCCTGATCTAAATTAACTTGTTAAGGAAACTCTGAACTGCATGAATTTACATAATGATTTCTCATGGGTTCTTTCTGGAGGGTTTGAACTTGGGTCCTTCAGCTCCAAAGCATAGGGCACTATCATTTAAACTACAGAATAAACTGCATGTAATTCTTACTACTTTTTTTTTTTTTTTTTTTTTTTTTT